TCTTTATGAAAGTACATGTTGTTGCCTACAACTCATAGTGACCCTGTGTACAACAACCCTAAACCCTGCTCTGTCCTATGCCTGTCTCACTGTCTGACACATGTACCCACATTACCCCAGTCACTGAATCAGTCCACCTCATAGAGTGTCTTCCTCTACTGCACTGTCCCTCCATCCTCCCAAGCATGACATCCCTCTCCAAGGACTGGTTCCTCCTTGCAACATGTTCAGCATATGTCAGATGAAGCTTCAGAATCCTTGCCTCCAAGGAGCATCCTGGCTTCACCCTCTCCAGGACAAACTTGTTCATTCTTTTAGCAATCCATGGTATATTCAATACTCTTCTCCAGCACTGCAACTCAAAGGCATCAATTCTCCTTCTGTCATTTCTCATCATTGTCCAGCTCTCTGATGCATAGCAAGTGAATGCAAAAACCATGGCATGTATCAGGCGCACCTTAGTCTCCAGACTGACATCGTTGCTCTTCAGTACTTTAGAGCGATCTCTAACCGCAGACTTTCCCATCGCAGTATGTCTTTTAATTTCCTGGCTTCTGTTGTCAACAGTGTTGATTCTGCAGCCAAGCTAACTAAAACTGAACAATCTCAATCTCTTCATCATCCATCATGATGCTAGCAATAGGCCTAGTGATGAGAATCCTTGTTTTCTTGATATTGTGCCTTAATCCATACTGAAGGCAGCAGTCCCTGACCTTCCACAGCAAGTGCTTCAGGTCCTCCTCAGTTTCAGCAAGCGGGGTTGTGTCATCTGTTTAATGCAGATTGTTAATGAGTCTACCTCCAATCCTGATGCCACATTTCTCCTCATAGAGCCCAGCTTTCTGGATAATCTGTTCTGCATAAAGACTGAAAAGGTATGGAGATAGGATACATCTCCAGTGTACACCTTCCCAATTTTTTTTAAACTGTTTTATAATTTGATTTGATAATCAGTTATTAGTTTTCATCCACATTGATGGTCTGTAGATTTTTTAAAGTGGTGACAGGTACATAGGTAACCAGTGTACACAGCTTGTTTAGGGAATCTTCATCCTTGTTATATTTTCCGTACAACCGTACACAGGTGCGATATGGGACAGTCCTTATTCCTTTGACCCAGACAGCTTTGTTAAGCCTGGTGTCAATGTGAACATATGATGTTCCCATCTCCTTCATAGCAAATTTTCAGATCTCCTTTAGTGCCTGAGGAGCACGCTCCTTAAATCCCACTCCATGGATGTGCTTGTGAATGTTGATGGTGTACTCTCTGGTCACCACTCTGGGGATGGTAGAATGGCCTTTCTTCTTCTCACCACCCTTCTTTGCGGGGCCATAGCACCGGGACCTGGCTGGAAAGGAAGAGGGCAAAGTATTGTGGGAAAAGGAAACAGTGGCACAACTTCCAAGTCACCCCCACCCTTCCAAAGTTTGAACCATGCAGTGTTCTCTTGCACTGTTCTGATGATTGTCTCCTGGTCCACGTATAGGTTTCACATTAGCACGATCAAGTGTCCTGGGATTCCCATTCTTCTCAGCGTCAGCCACAGTTTGTTGTGATCCACACAGTCAAACGCCTCTACGTAATCAGTTATGGATGTACATTGGTGGTGCTTAAAGCAGTGAGCCTGTGTACATTCATCAAAGAGGAAGAGAAAGGAAGGGGACAGTTTAAGGCGTGATACTCAGACTATTCCAGTATTGAATTGGTGAAATGAATAGAAGTCTGAGAAGTGGTTGCCAGTAAGGAAGGTATAAAAGTAGGAATAGCTGGTATCCTAGAAATCTGTGATTAATTTTGGCAAATATTGATAATAATGGGTGACTGGAATGCAAAAGTCGGGAACAAAGAGGAAGATTCAGTAGTTGGAAAACATGGACTCGGTGACAGAAATGGAGCTG